GGCTTATTTTAGGGATAAGGGTCCATGGTCCATAGTGGACCATATTAATTAATTAAAGGGGATCCTAATCGTAGTCTGAATAGTAAAAGGCCTACTTCCTTTATTCCTAATAGATAACTAGGTCTAGGATTCCTAATTAGAGTCTGAATAGTAAAGGGGTTTACTTTCTTTATTCCTAATTGGCTTAGGACTCTAATTTAGGCAATGGTCCACGGTTCATGGTGGACCTTATTAATTAATTAAAGGAAACCTAACCGAATTAAATCATATTTAATTATTATTAACGGGATTAATTAAATAATTAATCCGGGATTGAAGGCCGTAACACGGGGTGTTACACCTGTTTTACGATGTTGTTGTTGTAACACCCCTAAAATTTAGAACTTTTAAAACTTATGATATAAAGGTAATTCTATTATTAAATCCCAAAACGGGGCATACTAAACATATGAGTTTAGGGTGCTATGCCACATCTGAGCTGGAGAACTCAGATGCACAGGCTATACTATCTAAATATCCTCAAAATAGTGTCAATACATCATCATGGCACGCAGGCCGATAAGGAAGCTAACTATCTAAGCCACGGTCCTCTAGCGCGCTCCGGAGCTACTCATCTGTGCCTGAAAGCCAAGTATATCTATTCAGCGAATAATGCTAGTAACCCACTCTAACGCGTTAAAATACAATATAGGTATATATATATATATATATATATATATATATATATATATATATATATATATATATATATATATATATATAAGAAAACCATTTTGAAGCAAGAAGATATATACTAAGGAGACTCTAGTTTTAAAACCAGGAATAGACTCGACAAGTAGTGACAAGCACATTCGACAGTTATAATCAGGCATATAAAGACACTAGCATATATCCTAAGGTCACAAGCATATTTCACATTATTCATATCATCATTCAATCATTATCTTATCACATAAGCACACTTTGGTGGCGCCACAGGACCAATCGCATGCCTATACATGAGGGTCAGCGCATATAGCGCTAACACGGCCCCGCAGCACCCTGCCTCATACCGCAGCATGAAGGGGTTGACCGCAGCCAACCGATGAACCGTAGCTCATCAAACCGTTTGCGAGGCAAACGGTGGACCGCAACCCAAAAGTGTATCTCTGACCACAGCCAGGCTATGAACCGCAGCTCATGTAAAACGTTTGCGAGCCAAACGTTGGACCGCAGCCCAAAAGTGTATTTCTGACCGCAGCCAGCTTATGAACCGCAGCTCATGTATAACCAATTTGACCGCAGCCAATATTGTGGAATCATGCACACATAACACATAACAAGCACATGCAACCCACATTAACACATTGGGCAGCGGGTGCCCGGTGGGCAGTCGCCTGCCCGCTGCCGGCCACGCCCATTTGGGGCAGCGGGTAGGTGGCGGGTTCCCCTACCCCCACCTACCCCCCACTGACTCTTTTTCAATATATTGGTTCCGGGATCTTTCGTGGAACGCGAAACCATGTTTGGACACTTTTAAACATAAACGACGACACCACGTAGTCAAATAATGGATCAAAACCAAGAATCATATTGAGCATATCCTAACATGACTTCTAAGCATAAATAACACCCGAACATGCGAAATCCCACCCAATTATATCCAGAATATCACAATATGAGATCCCCAATTTAACCTAGGGCTCTAATCATATTCAAATCATCAAAATCATTGTTTATCTTTAAAACCAAGAATATCAAGATTTATCAAGAACATCACACAATTATCAAGATCCTCTTCTAATCATCAAGATCAACACATAAGATCATCTCATCAATCATCAGGATCATATCATCATCATTATAAAAGATTTATCAAGACACAAGCATAGAGAAGGAGCCAAAGAAGAAGATTATAGCAAAGAAAATAGGTTTTGTTTAGACATGGGTTACCTCTTAGCCTTAATTAATCCTCCCTTGGCTATTAAGGTTCTTCTCTAAGATTTCCATCCGATTGATCTCCCTAGGCTTGGTGGTGGGAAATCTCCCTGGAATATTTTCGTGTAATATAACTATGGGTGGTAAGGGGTCTAATTGCTTTCTAATCCCCTATTTATAGAATCAGGAATCCTAATCATAATCTGAATAATAAAGGCCTACTTTCTTTATTCCTAATAGATATATAGGTCTGGGATTCCTAATTAGAATCTGACTAGTAAAAGGTTTACTCTCTTTATTCCTAATAGGCTTAAGACTCTAGTTTAGGCAAGGGTCCACAATCCATGGTGGACCACATTAATTAATTCAAGGGAATCCTAACCAAATTAAATCCTTTTTAATTATTATTAACGGAATTAATTAAATAATTAATCCGGGATTGAAGGCCGTAACACGGGGTGTTACAGTTGTAGTGTGAGTAAGTAAGGTTCAGCTAGATGGGCGGTGGCAACAGTGTATGGTAAGCACCGTGTGCAAGGCTTCGCTGCGGTGAAGACCCTGCCTTGCTAGGTTGTTGTTGTGTTGTAATTAGGGTCCCGCTGGACGGGCGGTGGCGACGGTGTGTGGAAAGCATCATGTGCTAGGCTTCGTTGCGGTGAAGATCCTGCCTTGCTAGTTCCGTTGTTGTGTTGGTAAGTGAGGTTCCGCTGGATGGGCGGTGGTGAATGTGACACCCCGTAAATCCAAATTCTATTTAAGGATTAATTAAGTAATTAATCCTAGCTTAAATGATAGTTTAATTCCTAAAATCTTGAAAATTCAATAGTCGGGGACTAGAAATTGATTAGTCAATCCAAGTCAATGAGTTGTACTCTAAGCTTGTGAATTGTTACCTTGTATCCTTACACTTTTCCATCTTAGTAAGGGTAAAGAAGACCTTTCACCTCATGATTGTATTCCAAGCTAACCTAGAGTCATCTTTCATTCTTTTCCCTAACACTCTAAAAAGAAAATCTCCTCCTTCTCTCTAGAAATTAGCTAGCTTCTTCTTCGAGCCTAGTTTGGGCATTCCAAGATTCTTCAAGTTGGTCTCCAAGATTCAACTTTTCTTACTCTTGAGCATATAGGAGGGTAAGATCTTTGGTCCTTTAGTGTTTTTAGTACCTTTTAAGGTGTCTTTTTCTAAAGATGAAATCTTTGTTGCCTTTTGGTGTGTTTGTGAAGTAGACGTTGAAGGAGAGCCTTGATAGAAGCTTGTAAAGGTGTGAAAAGTGAAGGTTTAGGCTACAAGAGGTAACCCATGCTTTACAAAATCTATTTTCTTACTTGTATGATGATTTCTTGACTTCTACATGTGATTTTTATTATGAAATGTGAGGTTTGATGCATTGTCTTGTGAGAATGCATATCTAGAGCTTGATATTAGGATTCTTGTATGCCATTGCTTGGCTATTTCTTGGATTCAAGTCATATTGTTGTATTTTATGAGATTTTGGGTGTTTTGGACTTGGTGTTGAAAATCCCCGAAGGGATTATTTGAGTGTCTTCTTGATGTTTTGTATGTCTAGAACATGATGGTAGGAATCCATGTAGGATTTGGTGTCTTAAATCATGCTAAGTGTTCAACCTTGTGATTCGTTGAACCATGATGAGTCTTGTATGTTCTTCGAAACTATGTTTGGTTTGCCCGTTTGATAAGCATGCTAGTTTGATGTTGAAATGCTAGTGTGTGTGTTTTGTTCTTTCCTCTTGTGGATGATAACTTGTGTTGATCATCGTTGGGTCGGATTGTGATCCTTCCTTGAATGAGTATGTTTTCATATCTTCGTTGTGATCCGTTGATTGATTCCTATAATGATGTGTGAGTATTGGCTGCAAATACCTGGATTACACGATTAATGGTATGGGACATTAATCACCAAGGTACAGATGTGGTCCTCGTGGTGGACATGATGTGATTATGGAGTTGTAATTGGGCTTCAGGCTCATGCGATTTGGGCTTCAGGCTCATGTGTCGGGTGGCTTCAGGCCGTGAAATTAACGGTACCCTCGTGTACTATGAATAGGTGGACTTGTTGGAGATTTTCGGAGTGGGGATGACGGTCCTCGGAGGCATAAGGTTGGACTTTGGAGTACAGGGGTCCTGGAGGTAAAGGTTGGAACTAGTTATAAGGTTAGGGGTAGCCATAAGGTTGGAACCGGGCATTAGGATGGAATATGGAACATGGTATTTGTAACATGTGACATGTAGTGTCACAGTGGCATGTGTTGCCAATGTGTGTTTGTTTATCCTCTTCTGTTGAGCATGTCGAGTGGTATTCTACTTTGTGATCAGTAGAATACACCTCGAGTTGTACTTGATATTGTTGTTGTCGTTCTTGTTGTGATGTTGTCTTGGGATGTTGCTTCCCGTCGTCTTTGTTGAGAGTGAATTAGAGTCTTTGCAGTTGACTTCTCTCTTTATGGTTTTGAACCGATATATACTATATACCGTTTTGAAAATGGTTTTGTATTAAACTATCTATATATGCTATTGTACGCGTATTGATGGGTTAGCAGCAATATTCGCTGACCAGGCGTCGTCCCCTTTCTTTATGTGCTTTACAGGTCCTGAGTAGATGGCGAGAGCGTTAGCCATGGATAGTTTAGCTTCCCTGAACAGTTTAGATTGTGTTTTAGGCCTCTGTGCCTCTAATGTTGAACATATTAGATTGATGATTTCGGTTCTTGCCTGTGCGTTCACGTTGGTGTGATCGTGACATAACACTCCTTTCTTTTCCCGGTTTTATATTAGACTTTCGTTGTGTTTATGTTTACGTTATGTTGGTTAGTTTGCCCTACATATTTAAGCTTTAAATTGGCATGAAAATCGGGGGTGTTACAGTTGGTATCAGAGCCTAGGATGCTAGAGTCTAGACTTTTAAGAGGTTAAGTGTGGTTTGAGACCCTAAGATGACCATAAGAATCTAAGTGTTTAGGATTTAGGACTCTTAGGACGCGCGGTGAGTTGTGTGTTGTTTATAGTTTGCTTGCTTGCTTGTTGTTTTGTTTCGTAACAGTGTTGTTGTTGTAGAAGCTTTGCCATGGCGCCTCCTCGTCAACGTGCTCGCACACCGAAGACCCCAACGAATGAACAGCTAGCCCAGAATCTGCAACACCTCACGCAGACCATGCAGACCCTCAGTGAAGCTCTGTTGCACAACAATCATCCTGCTCCGCCACCACAGCCTGCTGGGCATAGAGATGTTGGACGCCTTGTATCGGGCCATAGACCACTGATGTTTGCCGGTGAGGAAGACCCTGTCGTGCTTGAGGAGTGGGTGCGAACCTTTGACAAGATCTTCTCGGTTGTTGGGTGCCCCGAGGAGCATCGAGTGGAGTTAGCATTGCTCTACTTCAGCCATGAAGCTGACTTGTGGTGGGTGCATGAGGGACCCGCTTGCCTTGAGGAGCCCGACTTCGACTGGACGGCCTTGAAGGACCGGATGCGAGAGCGGTTCTACCCGACACATGTTCGAGCTGCTATGTATGAGGAGTTTCTTCACCTCCAACAGGGTTCTTCGACGGTGGTTGAGTACCACAAGAGGTTTTTGGAGCTCGCTCGCTTCGCTAGGATGCTTGTCCCCACCGAGCTCGCAAAAGTTGAGAAGTTCGTAGCCAATTTGAACTACGAGGCTCGCAAGGCTTTAACCGTGAGCAAGCCGAAGACCTTAAAAGAGGTTTATCTGAGTGCTGCTGACCTGTACCGAGTTCAACAGTTGCAACGGGGATCGTTTGAGCTTGCTAGAAAGAGGACCGAGAGTGGTGGATCTTCCCACTTCAAGAAGCCAAGGCAGGATTTCCGAGCCAAGACCGCACCTCCCCCACCTCAAGGACCAACTCGAGTGGAGCCCGGGAGTCAAGCTAAGACGTTCGCGTGCCGGAAGTGTGGAAAGGAGCATGCAGGAAAAGATTGTAGTGGGTATGCACTCCGATGCTTCAAATGCGGGAAGAGATGGCATAAGGTTGCTGTATGCCCCCAGCAAGCTAACCAAAGGGCGTTGCGACCTAGCTCGGGACCCAATGGAGCATCGGGAGGGAGTTCAAGCCAAGGAGCAGCTGGAGCTAGACCTTCGGGTCGTGTGTTTGTGATGGGACGATCCCAGGCTGAGACGGAGGGGTTGGTTGAGGACGAGATGGCAGCTAACCCTTTTTCCTAAGCCTATCCTTATCTTGAGTGCATCTATTGCCTTGTTGCCTTGTTCTTTTGATTTTAAGTGAAACGTGGAGTTAATTGTTTATCTCTAAAATGGGTCATGCTTGTGTTAATTCCGTAGCCTTGCATATGTTCCTTGTAACCCAACCTCCCTTGTGAGTCATCTAAATCGTGCTAAGTGTTCAACCTTGTGATTCGTTGAACCATGATGAGTTTTGTATGTTCTTCGGAACTATGTTTGGTTTACCCGTTTGATAAGCATGCTAGTTTGATGTTGAAATGCTAGTGTGTGTGGTTTGTTCTTTCCTCTTGTGGATGATAACTTGTGTTGATCATCGTTGGTGTCGAATTGTGATCCTTCGTTGATTGAGTATGGTTTCATATCTTCATTGTGATCCGTTGATTGATTCCTATGATGATGTGTGAGTATTGGTTGTACCTGGATTGCACGATTAATGGTGTGGGACATTAATCACCAAGGTACTGATGTGGTTGTAACACCCCAGATTTTCAGGACATTTAAAACTTTATAAAATAAAGGTGAAATCTCATTAATTCCCAAAAACGCAACATAAAGAGTACGGGGTGCTATGCCACACCTGAGCTAGAGAACTCAGGTGCACAGGCTAACTAACTAATATCCTGAATAAAGTAAATGCATAACATGGCACGCAGGCCGAAAGGGGAAACTATCTACTTCTACGTTCCAAGATCTAGCGCGCTCCAGTGACTTATTCTTCTGTGCCTGAAAGCCAAATATATCTGTTCAGCGAGAGATGCTGGTAACCCACTCCAACGCGTTGAAATACAATACATACATATATATATATATATATATATATATATATATATATATATATATATATATATATATATATATATATACATATACATAGATATATGAAAAGTCATTTCGAAGCATGAAGATATATCCTAAGAGACTCTACCTTTCAAATCAGGGAACCGACTCGACAAATAGGGTACACACAGTCTACAGTCATAGATAAGCACAACCAATAATCACAATTAAGCATTACTAGCAAGAGCCCTATGGTCACATTTCCATAACAGTCGTATCATCAATCCCTCGCATCTCATCATATAGCACACTTTGTTGGCGCCACAGGACCAATCGCATGCCCATACATGAGGGTCAGCGCAGATAGCTCTGACACGGCCCCGCAGCACCCTGCCCCGTCTCACACTACGGAGGGGTCGATCGCAACCGACCGATGAGCCGCAGCTCTATATAATATTTATATACCTGACCGGTCTTTACCAACCTGGTTAACAGTTGAGATGGTTCTCAACCCATTCAACTGCCCGTATAGTGGACCTTTTTCCTATATAATATTTATATACCTGACCGGTCTCTACTAGCCTGGTTAACAGTTGGGATGGTTCTCAACCCATTCAACTGCCCGTATAGTGGACCTTTGTCCTATATAATATTTATATACCTGACCGGTCTCTACCAGCCTGGTTAACAGCCGGTATGGTTCTCAGCCCACCCGACTGCCCGTATAGCCCGATTGATCTCAACCAAATCGGGGTAACACGCACACATAACACATAGCAAGCACATGCAACCCACATTAACACATTGGGAAGGGGGAGAAACGTATAACAAAACCTATGCGTGATCCTTCACATACTAAGAATATTCCTAAGGGGTTCATGTTTCTTTCACATAGGTCAACGGGATACCAATTCAACTAGCGTGCAATATATAAAACTCATACGGCCTACGAACGGTACCCAAAAATCAAACTAGACATAGGCACGATAGACGGTGTCCGTTGGGACACCACAGGGGTCGGGGGAACAACAAACGGGGAAGCCGGGATCCTGAAGTGGGGTACAAACCAGCGGGTAGCCGGTGGGTGAGGGGTCACCCGCCGGCTGCCCGCCGGCGTTTTACTATTCTGGGCAGCGGGTGCCCGGCGGGCAGCTGCCCGCCCGCCGGCTGCCTGCTGCCGGCGTTGCCCGACTAGGCCGCGGGTAGGTGGCGGGTCCCCTACCCCCCAAGGACTCTTTTTCACCAAAAACGCCCCGGGAACCTTAGTGGAACCCGAAACCATGCTTTGACACTTTCAAACACAATTGATAGCACACGTAGACAATTAATGGATCAAAATCAAGAAACAAACGGCACATAACCTATCATGCTTTTCTAAACATAATCAATACCCAATCATGCGAATTCCCACCCAATATACCAAGAATAATACCATACGAATCCCACGATATAACCTAGGGTTCTAATTATTTTTAAATCAACAAGAACACAATTCATCAAGATTCGGTAGGAATATCATATAAATACCAAGAACATCATATAATCATTAAGAACATCAAGAACACCATATAATCATCAAGAACGTCATATAATCATCAAGAACACCATAATTATCAAGAACCTCTCCTCATCAAGATTATCCATGGAATCATCCCACCAATCATAAATAATAATATCACAAATAATCAATACACAATAATATGGGGAAATCCTAAGAGGGGAAACATAGCTATGAAAATAGGTTTTGTTGAGACATGGGTTACCCTCTTAGCCTTAATTAATTCCTTGGCTATGAAGGGTCTTTCTTTAAGCTTTCTTGCTTTCTTGATTTCTTCTAAGGGAATTCTTGGAGCTCTTTGGGTGGTGAGACGTTATTGTGGTGGGGGGATTCTAGGTGCCTCTTAAGTCCCCTATTTATATATTTAGGAGTCCTAATTAGGAACTAATATTATAGGCTTGCTAATTCTATTCCTTTTGGGACTAAGGATTGGGTTTAGGGATAAGGGCCCGTGGACTATGGTGGGCTTTTCCTAATTAATTATTGTGATTTAATTCTTTCTTTTGGGTAATTGGTTAATTGATTAATTGGTTTTAGGGATCGTAACACGGGGTGTTACAGTGGTCCTCGTGGTGGCCATGATGTGATTATGGAGTTGTAATTAGGCTTCAGGCTCATGTGATTTGGGCTTTAGGCTCATGTGTCGGGTGGCTTCAGGCCGTGAAATTAACGGTACCCTCGTGTTGTAACACCCCCGATTTCAATGCCGAATTAAACTTAAACATGCAAGAAATCTAACCACAATATAAACATACACAGCGGAAGTCTAACTATATAAACTGGAAAACGAGGAATGTCATACCACGTCCACGCTAAGGTGAACGCACAGGCGGGAACAACATCCACATAATCAGTCTAACAAAGGACAAGGTTAAAACAACAAAAGTCTACTGTTTGACATAAAAGGCTCACAGGCCTAACACAAAGCTAATAAAGTCCGGGGAACTACACTATCCATCACTGATCGTGCTCGCCACTACTCGGGACCTGAAAAACACATAGATGAATGGGACGACACCCGGTCAGCGAATAATGTTGGTAACCCATCAATACGCGTCAATAGCATATATAGATAGATAGTTTATTGGAAAATCATTTCGAAACGGAATACTGTATATATAAGTTTCAAAGCCAAAGATAGAAGTCAACCACAAGACTTTATATCACTCACAACAAGATTAAGGGAACACATCCCACGACATCAAGAAGTAAACAACGACGACATAAGTAAGGCTCAAGGTATATTCTACCATCACTCAATAGAATATCACCCGACATGCTCAACACAAGAGAATAACGACACGTATTGGCAACACATGCCTTCGTGACATCACTCATCACGAATAGAGAAACACACAACGGAAACACATGCCTTCGTGACATCACACATCACGAATCAAGAATCATTCCTTATGCCCGGTTCTAACCTTATGGCTACCCCCAACCTTATAGCTAGTTCCAACCATTACCTCCAGGACCCCTGTACTTCTGAGTCCAACATTTTCCCTCCTGGGACCGTCGTCCCCCACCAACGACCACCAACATTTCCACCAATCCATAGTACACGAGGGTACCGATCACACACTTTGGCAACACATGCCTCCCAAGAAAACGTGAACCCATCACACAGGTCACAAACTCCAGGCCGCCACGAGGACCACTGTCGTACCTTGGTGACTAATGTCCGATACCATTAATCGTGCAATCCAGATACAGCCACACACATAACACCATCATAGGAATCAATCAACGGATCACAACGAAGATATGAAATCATACTCAACAAGGAAAGGATCACAATCTGACAACAACGATGATCACACAAGTCATCATCCACAATAGGAAAGAACAAACCACACACGCTAGCATTTAAACACCGAACTAGCATGCTTATCAAACGGGTAAACTAAACATAGTTCCGAAGAACACACAAGACTCATCATGGTTCAACGAATCACGAGGTTGAACACTTAGCACGATTCAAGACACCAAAACCTAAATGGATTCCTACCATATAGTTCTAGACATACGAAACGTCAAGAAGACACTCAAATAGTTCCACAAAAGAACATCGGGAAGTCAAAACATCAAATACCGAGTCAAAAGAATCACGGGGAACAAATCCCCGCCCAAGCCAACATTGTACCCCGCGGGTGGGGCCACGAGTGGAGCTCTACCCGCCGTTCTGCCCGCAGGTACAATACCCTGAACAAATTAATCCCTTCGGGGATTTTCAACACCAAGCTCAAATTCCAGTCCAAAACATCCAAAATCTCATCAAATACAACAAAATGACTTGAATCAAAGGAATAGCCAAGCAATGGCATACAAGAACCCTAATAACAAGCTCTAGATATGCATTTTCACAAGACAATCCATCAACACTCACATTTCATAGCAAAACACATGTAGAATCCAATAAATCATCATATAGGTAAGCAAAATAGATTTTGTAGAGCATGGGTTACCTCTTGTAGACTCAACATTCACTTATAACACTTCTCAAAGCCCCTAACAAGGTTCACCTTCAACACCTACTTCAAGAACACACCAAAAGATCATAAAGATTTCATCTTTAGAAAAAGATACCTTAGAAAACACTAAAAACACAAAAGGAACATAGATCTTACCCTCCTAGATGCTCAAG